TCGGATGAATATCCACGATATATATGTCTTTTAAGGACATGGATATTCGTCCGAGCATCGGATACTAGTTTGGTGGCGCTATTCGGCCGAGCATTGTTGCGCATCACTACGAAAGGTTATACACCATAGATTAATTTTGGTGCTATGACACGTGTATATATGATAGCCGAGTCGGTTTAGAGTTAGTGTTAGGGTTAGGGATAGGGGTAGGGTGACTGTTTGTACTTGCGTGTATATTTGGAATATCCACGTCATTAAATTATACATCTGACGGCATTTAGGTACTAAGTGCTACGATGGCATTTACTTGCCGCCGATACAGACTACCTCTGACGGCATTCGATTCGATTCTGATGAAATTCGATCTTTGGGTATGCGCGGGGCAACATCGATACGAATTTTTGCATGTATTCCACGCCACCAGCGTGGCGCCGATAGCAAAAACGTGCTCTCCCCCTAGGGTCCAGGCACACACCTCATTGCTGTTCGCTGATTGGCCACTTGGCCAAAAAACGTCCGACTCCACTGCTCCAAGTCCGCATGTTCTAATTTCCCAACTCGCTGCGCCCGATCGGTGCATCGTGTGGCGGCAATCAGTCGGAGGGGTATACGTTTTTACATATATATATATATATACCTAGATATATATACACAGACATGTACAACACCAGCCTATCTACTTGCCAATATGTATATATATATATATCCGCATGTCTATGTCTACGTTTCAGGTATATACATACGCCAGAGCGTTTTATTATGTTCCCGCACTGCCAGCGCTATATATATGTGTCTATATATATATATCGACACACGTGACAGTGTTCACTTGTTATAAAAACATACTGTCGTAACCGAGCTGTCACGTGTCAAGCAAAATCACACAAAGCTTGACGAAATTCTCGCGTTCGCTCCCGTTGCGCAGTTTATGTAAATGGCTGCAAGTACAGGGCTATAGGCGGCGCACTGCATTTTGGGAAACTACCATGCTGCTCTCCAACTCCCGTACGAGCCTCGTCAAAGCCGCCAGTGGAGCGTTGCAATAATGTGGCGCAAAAATGAGGTCACGAAGAGCGCGGGTGGGTGTTTCCTGATTCCGACAGCCATTTACATAAACTGCGCAACGGGAGCGAACGCGAGAATTTCGTCAAGCTTTGTGTGATTTTGCGTGACACAGCTCGGTTACGAACACAGACAGTTTGTTTTTAGCCAGGCTTTCAGATTTGAAAAGTACAGGAGGACTACTAATGACTCCCCTAGGACACCATAGGGGTCTTTTCATGCTCCATAATGATGGAGAGCTCCACTAAAAAATCACACCCTTAAAAGGGATGATGGAAGTTCCTTGAGGGGTGGAGCGCGAGCGCGATCGCGCCCCTTAAAAATGAAAGCCTGTTTAGCTCATCTGACATAGTCAGATGCAGCTTGTAGAACCGCATGATTGTCCGTGCGTCTGTGCGTGTGTCCGTCCGTCTGTGCGTGCGTCAACAGTTGGGCACAAATCTTAACGGCTCGATGTACGGATTAGAAAGTCGGGACGTAGGGGGGTAATCCGAAAACGAGTTGGGATGTCTGAAGCTGGGGTCAAAAATCAAAGGTCAAGAGGTTAAAAGAAGGGGGAACATTCCCTCCTTAACTTAGGTATAGGAGGAAATGCAGATCCCGCACATCCAGCATGAGACCGCCTATCGTGGAGTTATGGGTGCAGAGGCGCACAAATCTAAACGGCTTGACCTAGGCTCGTGAATAGATCGGTGTATAGCATACATGGTAGGAAAAGCCATCACTGTGGCCAAAATTGGAGGTCACAGGTCAAGGTCAATGGGCACAGGGCAGATTTTAGACATTTTCTGAGGACATGGTCTGACGGAGGCGATTGAAAAACTTTTTTGTTTCAGCGGTGACCTACCATTTTCATGGCTTTATTAAAAGGGCACCATGAAATGTACTTTCGCTGACATGCAAAGAGTAAGTGTCTGATAACCTTTTGACCTCCAAGACGAGGGTTAAACATGGATTTTTTTACTGATTAGAAAGAATTGACTGCCGGGTTTGCTAGTAGAATCTATTACATGCATGCGATGTATGAGGCTACAATGTCACAGTGAAATTTCAAAAGCTAAATTTGGTTGAAGAAGGTTTATGCCTCCTTAAATCGTAGTGAATTTCGATGGCATTCTGTACTTCAGTGTGTACATGTACTCTATGCCTCCAGTGGCCATGCCAGCTGCATGTGGTAGTGATTAGTACTGTGTAGATTTTGCCTGCATTAATTAGTCACAGGTGGCAGCTCTCTATTTCAGCCTCAGGCTTGCGTAGGTAAATGGACTTACTGTAGTAGGTAAGTGCTAACCTATTCTGTCTTGCAAATAGTTGTTGCTACTACGTACGATGGGAGCTTCCATCTTTAATCTTAAGACACTTAAACGTACGCGCCATCTCGTGGCAACTTTCATACAACGATCCCAACGAACATTCCTTCGAGAAGGTTCCTGATACCATCCCTGTGCCTTCCACTGTTTCGGCGCGTATGTGAATACATTTGGGACTAACAGGGTTTACTAGAATCCCAATTGTGTTATAACAAGTGAACACTGTCTTTCAAATAGAAACAAAGGTGGAGTAAAATGGTTGAATATTTGCGTTGTATTTGTGTGAAATCAAGCGAGCGTCGAGCAAATTTTGGCAGCATGCTTTCCTACCTGCTATATATTTATGTGTCAGTGTGCAGCAGCTAGCGTGCGGCAGCCAGCGTGTGTTGCAGATGAGCATTTAAACGGCATTTACAGGAAATTGTCGGCAATAATAGGTGAACGAGAGTAGAGAAACATTAAGACTTTGGTAGTAAATAGATTTCGTATTTTATTTTATTTAGCATTATATTTTATTGAAATGCTCCAAGTGCCTGTGAGTGTGACCGTGTCATCGCTACGAAATTATGGTAACTGCCAATTGGACCACGACCAAGTCATATGACTTACAATTCACACACTTGTTAACTCAGAAGTATAGGGCTAAGATTACAAGAAATAGGAAGTCTGGTGTTCAAAAATATTACCAGGTTGTCATATCTATATTACTATTAGTATGAATATTAGCCTCAGGCTCAGGTTGATTCGCCTAGGCTATTTAGTCTTTTCAAGTCACGGTTGTATGGTCATGGTGTATTTTTGTATCCCCCGCGACGAAGTCGGCGGTGATACTATGGTTTCATGTCTGTCCAGCCGCCGCCGCCGCAGACACTTGCCCTTCCGCTCTATAACTCGACCCATAATTGACCTAGCGTGAGCAAACATAGTCTACTTACACATCTTGGGGAGAAGGTGCGCAGCGTACCAAAACCAGGTCACTACGACCTTTATTTGACTTTTACCTTGACCTTGATCATATTTCCCTTCCACTCTATAACTCGGCCCCTAATTGACCTAACGCTACCAAATTTGGTATACTTACACATCTTGGGGAGAAGGTGTATCGCGTACCAAAACCAGGTCACTGCGACCTTTATTTGACCTTAACATTGACTTTGATCATATTTCCTTTTCGCTCTATAACTAGAACCCGAACCCAAATAGACCTACCAAAACCAAAATACGTACACATACACAGCAGAAGGAGAATCGCGAACCAAAACCAAAACAACGCCACTGCGATTTGAACTTAACCTTAACCTTGACCATAATCACATTCCCCTCCAGAACTAGAACCCGAACCCAAATAGAACTACCAAAACCAAAACACGTACACATACACAGCAGAAGGAGAAGCGCTGACCCAAACCAAAACAAGGCAACCGCAACCTGAAATTGACATTAACCACACCTTCACCATAATCACATTCCCCTGCAGAACCCCGACAACAAGGCACCTAACGCAACCAAACCAAGCAAACTTACAAAACTTACACAGCAGGGGGAGAACGAACCAAAACAACCAAAACAACCAATTTTAACATACTTGCACATCTCAGGCAGATGAGTTGTGTAACAAACCTTTGTCTTTGTGACTTATTTAACTTTACCTACTTTCTACGTCCTTACAGAGATATTTCATTCATACTAGATCACGGGGGATACATGTAGTTGGCGACAACTGCCCTTTCTAGTTTTCACAGTGGCTGGAAGTACGGCAGCCGTCGATCGTTGAAGCCCCTTTTTGGCATTCGTTTGAGGGCTTTGGCAATTGTTCGCGATCTTCTGATGTAAAGTTTACAATAATGTTTATTTTCATACTTAATCCGAGTGTTTTCTAGCTCATCAAAACTATTAAATCATGAATTTATTTCCAACAGCATTATTTCTACATCTGAATTAGCCGCCGCCATCTTTGTCTCATCTTCTTCCGTTTGAAATGAAATGGAAATGGAAAGTGAATGGGCTGCTGTACCTGCAGCCTCGTGACTGAGGACTGACTCTCGACCTGAGGGTCTTTCACCACCCCAATGCTATATCTATCACATTATGTATTGTGACCTTTCATTCTAATATGTATCGTTGTATACTGTATACATGTAAATATGTCTTATGCACAAATAAAAAATTTTGAATCTTGAATCTCGTAAATTGGAGAGACGGCTGCCGTACCTCCAGCCACACTGCCACAGCCAATTTTTTTCTATTTTTCAAGACTAAATTTTTCTCTCTCTATCCATGGAGTCATTGGACTTACGTTTTGATTTCTATCTTTTGGGCTTTGAAGACTAATCATTGTGGTTATGTAGTGCTCTGTTAGTTATCATGCCTGGTTATGGCAAGACAACCCATATATTTCTCTACATGAGTGAGAAGAATTCAATCTCATAGCTGTAATGCAATGGGGGCTTTAGTTTTATGCTACTTAATATTTGTTTATTTGACTAAAAAGGTATCTACAAATCTGACACGGCATTGGTACGAGATAGATTTGGCAGTAACTAAATCAGTAAATTTATCAGCATTATTATGTAAACTGAGTAGTTTGCTTTCTATATTCTAGTGAGGCCACAGTATGGCTTCATCAACAGCGGCGAGACTTGGTGTAGGCCCTGCTAGGAGACTGGTCATATATCCATCCGCAAGAAGACGGAGTGCCATTCCAAATTTCCGTAGGTATTTTAGAATTACGTCCAGGATGGTTTCATGCTCAACAGATACTAATTGAAGACATGGTAATAAACTAACGTTTGCAATACACAATCTGTTATTTAATCACATTCATTCAAGTAATGAAAGTGCAGGGGTAGAAATTAACTTTTGAAGAAGGGAGTCCAACGGACTCCTGCCCTCGAAAAGAGGGAGTCCGTAGCAAAATGAGGGAGTCCGCAGTCTGAAGTTTAAAACTAAAGCATAACAACAATAACGCATGTGCTTATTTTGAAGATTCGCAATTCATGCGATGTACGTCTGCCAAATTTTCTTTGGGCATTTGCTGAAAAAATACGGTAATTCGCGAGGCCATGCTCTGGAATGAACTACTACTAGTTAGTATAACAGAATTTTCAGGGAGTCACACGGACATATATCAAATCCTGCATATGTAAAATCAGGGAGTCCGACAGTAAATCGGGGAGTATTTGACTCTGGACTCCCGTTAATTTCGCACCCTGTAATAGATGGATAAGATTCGTAGAGGGTAAATAAATATCTTGTTAAATAGTAAGATAGATATATTTGTAAAGGAAAGAACATACAGATTTAACTCGTGTTTTTTTTACATCTACTCCAATAATTATTAGACTATATGGTTTAAATTGCTCGTAAAAACAGGAACCTGCTTTTATTGTTGATAGTACTGTAGAAAGCTGGAGTGTTATTATAGGAGAAAAAAACACTATGTAATTTACTCTAGTAAGTACTTGTGATTGAAAATGTACAATCGTGATAATAGATTGTCAATGTAAGCATTATCAACAACCGCCTGCCTATGCAAAAGTCAGTTAGACTAGAGCATTTGTAAATGTGTAAAAATGTAGTGATATGTAGTTTTCAATTATTAATTATATCCATATATTATCCAATAGGTTGCTGCTTGGATAAACTTGCGAAAATGCGATTGCCAACCTTATTTTTGTCTCAATTCAGGGTCTGTGAAATCACTTAGCCCAAGTTTTTGCTCCATCTACATATGTGATAGAGATCTTCACACCTCCACCTTTCTACTTGCCCCCCGAGATGGAAGTTCGGGTATATTTGGTGGCGACGGGGGACAGAAACCCCCACCTACGTCGGGCGGTGGTGGTGGTGAAAACAAAGATAAAGACACCAGTGGTGGATCAGGCGGTGGTCAACTCAGGTGCCCGAAGTGTGGCGACCCCTGCACACACGTCGAGACGTTCGTTTGTAAGTCCGAAGCCTATGGTTATTTCTTTGTAAATTTTTTCATTTTTTTCCATGCATAGCCATGCCTCAATGTTGCTCACTTTCTTCTGTAAATGTAGTTTCAATAATCTACTGCTCTAGTAATGGAGTTTACTCTTAACAGATTGTTTGCGATTCAACACTAAATGTTTTCAGCCTCAACGAGATTTGTGAAGTGCGAGAAGTGTCACCACTTCTTCGTGGTCCTGTCCGACATTGATTCGAAGAAGACGATTAAGGAAGGGCAGCGAGAGCAACCCGCAGAGAAGGTCAATCAGCAGAGGCTCCCTCCTCCTCACCCGAAGAAGGCGAGTGAAGCAGTCATGAAAATATAGTCTTAAAATCCCATCTCTGCCCCGATTTAAAAAATTTTGATTTCTGCTATATAACCTATAGAAAAATCCATAAAAATTTGTCGGTCCTGCTCAAAAGTTACAAGTGCTAGACTGGAGAGGACGACCGCTATTTCCAACACTGAGTAAAGTGGGTAAAATAGTGTAAAAGGTCAACGGTGATTTAGGGTTTTGCATCTAGCACTGTTGTTCACAGACTGATGTTATTGTGCTTGGGTCTTGCAGTGAGCACTCGGCACGTTCACAAACTCATTGCCAGGCATTACAGGGGTAGAAAATAACTTTTGAACACGGGAGTCCGACGGACTCTTTGCTCTCAAAAAGAGAGAGTCCGCAACAAAATGAGGGAGTCCGCAGTCTGAAGTTCAAAACTAAAGATATTAGCAATAACGCGTGGGCTTATTTTGAAGATTCATGCAGTTGCACTAATGCCAAATTGTCTTTGGACATTTGCTGAAAAAATACGGCAATTCCGCGAGGCCGTGGTCTGGAACGAACTAGTTAGTATAGCAGAATTTTCAGGGAGTCACGGACTCCTGCATATGTCAAAACAGGGAGTCCGACAGAAAATCCGGGAGTATTTGACTCCGGACTCCCGTTAATTTCGCACCCTGCATTATGCGGTTGATGCCTTCGCAGCGTCATTTTGAAATTAGCGAAAGCATTATAATTAATTGTGTGCCTTATCGTATATGTAACTGTTTGACAGACAAGTGATTCGCCACTACAATGCCAGTCGTGCACGTGTGCAGCTACATTTTGCTACTTTGTAGTTTGCTAGTTATCACTGAAGCCTTACCTTATTTTTAGTCTCTGCAACACCCTTCCGTGTTCAGACAGGAAAGTGAGTTTTGAATTGGGGTGATCTGTTGATTCAAAAAAACCATGTAAGAGCGAATCGGGTGTTACACGAGTTTGCTCGAGTGCTTTCTTCGTGTCGTGTTCGTAGCGAAATTGTCGGTTGAGTAAGCGCGCCATTGTTGGTCTAATTGATGCCAATCGTATTGCAGATATACAACTACCTGAACAGATACGTGATCGGGCAGGAGAAGGCGAAGAAGGTGCTCTCTGTCGCCGTCTACAACCACTACAAGCGCATCTACACGAACGTCCCCGCGACGGCGCAGAAGCCGGAGCAGGGAGTCGTGGAGACGCAGCAGCAGCAGCGCTCTCCCGCCACCTTCTCACACAGAGGTACGGGGTCTCGCACGCGTGTGGGATGGGAGTACCGGCCTCGGGCGGGGGAGAAATCTGGAAGTGTCGGAAAAATGTAAAAAAAATGCTCTCCTTGAATGTAGTATGTACATGTTTGTAAGTTATGTGCAGGTGTGTTCATCCAGGTTACACTTAGCAAGAAAGAAACAAATTTCGTATGTGCATGTTCTCAAGACCTGGGTGTTGTGTTGGTACAATACTGGCTAAAAATCACTCGGATGGTAGGAAAATGAATCTGGAATTATATTTTTTTCGTCCTAAATTGACTACGTCACGAATTTTATATGGTAAAATTTGTAAAAAATTTGTTGCTATTTTTTAC